CCCGGACCAAATTTGCATGGATGATGCATCTAGGGATGGACACTACCAGACTTGCTTCGGATGCTGGATCTGACCTACATTTTCCAGATGAGTGACCAGGTTAAAGTTTTTGGAGCAGGTCCATTCCCAAGTAATTATAAGACCTACCTGAACCAAACTTGCATGGATGATGCATCTAGGGATGTACACTACCAGACTTGCTTCGGATGCTGGATGTGACCTACATTTTCATTCCCGAGGAACTATAAGACCTACCCGAACCAAACTTGCAGGGATGATTCATCTAGGGATGGACACTACCAGACTTGTTTCGGATGCTGGATCTGACCTACTTTTTCATTCCCAAGTAACTATAAGCCCTACCTGAACCAAATTTGCATGGATGATGCATCTAGGGATGGACACTACAAGACACTACAAGACTTGCTTCGGATGCTGGATATGACCTACATTTTCCCAAGTAACTATAAGCCCTACCTGAAGCAAACTTGCATAGATGATGCATCTAGAGATGGACTCTACCAGACTTGCTTCGGATTCTGGATCTGACCTATATTTTCATTCCCAAGGAACTATAAGCCCTACCTGAACCAAACTTGCATGGATGATGCATCTAGTTATGGACACTACCAGACTTGCTTCGGATGCTGAATCTGACCTATATTTTTCATACAAGAGACCAGGTTAAAGTTTTGGGAACAGATTTATCCCAATAAAACTTGAAGTCATTGATATCTGCAGTATTAACAAATTTAATTTTTTGAATATTGTTTACACTATACATGTTTTTCATGCTACATGCGTAGAAATGTATATATGCCCTGTACGGGGTTAAACACAACTTGCAAGAATATTGCTGTTGGGATAAATACTAGAGATTAAAAAAATATTATGTGAGATTTGCATTACTTACACTGATAACATTCGTGGAGGCGAGCTTCGTAATCTTTGATTACTGAGTACCTATGTTTAGCTATCTATACCGTCGGTGTCGGCGTCCCGGTTAAAGTTTTAGGAGCAGGTAAGTTCCCATGTAACTATAAACCCTTCCTGGACTAAACTTGCATGGATGATGCATCTAGGGATGGACACTACCAAACTTGTTTGGGATGCTGGATGTGACCTACATTTTCCAGATGAGTGACCAGGTTAAAGTTTTTGGAGCAGGTCCATTCCCAAGTAACTATAAGCTCTACCCGGACCAAACTTGCATGGATGATGCATCTAGGGATGGACACTACCAGACTTGCTTCGGATGCTGGATGTGACCTACATTTACCAGATGAGTGACCAGGTTAAAGTTTTTGGAGCAGGTCCATTCCCAAGGAACTATAAGCCCTACCTGAACCAAACTTGCATGGATAATGCATCTAGGGATGGACACTACCAGACTTGCAGGATCTGACCTCCATTTTCCAGATGAGTGACCAGGTTCAAGTTTTTGGAGCAGGTCCATTCCCAAGTAACTTTAAGCCCTACCCGGACCAAACTTGCATGGGTGATGCATATAGGGATGGACACTACCAGACTTGCTTCGGATGCTGGATGACCTACATTTACCAGATGAGTGACCAGATTAAAGTTTTTGGAGCAGGTCCATTCCCAAGTAACTGTAAGCCCTACCTGGACCAAACATGGATGATGCATCTAGGGATGGACACTACCAGACTTGTTTCGGATGCTGGATCTGACCTACAATTACCAGATTAGTGACCTAAGGTTATTGCCAAGTAACTATAAGCCCTATCCGGACCAAACTTGCATGGATGATGCATCTAACGATGGACAATCGAAACTTTCTTTGGATGCTGGATCTGACCTACATATTCCAAACGAGTGACGAGATTAAAGTTTTTGGAACAGGTCAATCCCCAATGAATTTTAAGACCTATTTAAACAGAATTTGCTTGAATATTGTTGTCAGAATAAATACTAACTTTTAAGGAAGTATGATTTGAGATTTGCATTACCTAAACTGATAACATTCGTCGAGGTAAGCTTCGTAATCTTTGATTACCTATGTTTATTCCCCGCCATGAATATGGCCGGGGCATTTAGTGTTTGTCATGTCCGTCTTCCGTCCTTCCGTCTTTCTTTCCTCCATATGCTGATAGATATTGATGAGAGCTATGCAACTGCATCAACATTTTGTGACCTTGACCTTTCCTTTGACCTTGACCTCACTTTTCTTAAATTAGAGTTTAGCTCAGTTTTAAAGAAACCATTCAAGATGATGTTGTCAAACTTCACATGCTGTTACATACTGATGAGAGCTATGCAACTGCATCAACTTTTTTGATCTTGACCTTTCCTTTGACCTTGACCACACTTTTTCTTGCATTAGTATTTAGCTCTTTTTTTAAGAAACCATCCCAAGATATTTTTTTTCAAACTTCATGTGCTGATACATAATGATGAGAGATATTCAACTGCATCAACAATTTTTACCTTTCCTTTGACCTTGACCTCGCTTTTCTGAAATTAGTGTTTAGCTCAGTTTTAAAGAAACCATTCAAGATGGTGTTATCAAACTTCACATGTTGTTACATACTGATAAAAGCTATGCAACTGCATTGACATTTTTGACCTTGACCTTTCCTTTGACCTTAACCACACTTTTCTTAAATTGGTATTTAGCTCAGTTTTTAAGAAACCATCCAAGATATTTTTTTCAAACTTCATGTACTGATACCATAATGATGAGAGCTATTCAACAGCATCAACATTTTTTACCTTGACCTTTCCTTTGACCTTGACCTCACTTTTCTTAAATTAGTGTTTAGCTCAGTTTTAAACATCTCATTTAAGATGGTGTTATCAAACTTCACATATTGATACATACTGATGAGAGCTATTCAACTACCTCAACCTTTTTTACCTTGACCTTTCGTTTGACTTTGACCACACTTTTATTTCAATCATTTTTAGCTCAGTTTTAAAGAAACCATCCAAGATAATTTATCAAACTTCATATACTGATGAGAGATATTCAACTGCATCAGCATTTTTTTTACTTTGTCCCTTCCTTTGACCTTGACCTCACTTTTCCTAAATTAGTGTCAAACTTAATATGCTGATACATTCTGATGTAAGCAATTTAACTACATCAACATCTTTGACCTTATCTTACCTTGACCTCACTTTTATCAAATTTATGTCAGTTTTAAAGAAACCATTTTATATTTTTTTTTTCAACCTTATATGCTGATACATACTGATGAGAGCTTTTCAACTTCAACATTTTTAGCTCACCTGAGCTGAAAGCTCAAGTGAGCTTTTCTGATCACATTTTGTCCGGCGTCCGTCTGTCTGTCAGTCTGTCTGTCCGTCTGTCTGTCTGTCTATCTGTAAACTTTTCACATTTTCGACTTCTTCTCAAGAACCGCTGAGCCAATTTCAACCAAACTTGCCACAAAGTATCCTTGGGTAAAGGATATTCAAATTTGTTCAAATGAAGGGCCACGCCCTCATTCAAGGGGAGATAATTGGGAATTAATGAAAATTTGGTGGCATATTTTAAAAATCTTCTTCTCAAGAACCACTGTGCCAGGAAAGATGAAACTTATGGGGAAACATCCTCAGGTAGTGTAGATTCAAATTTGTTCAAATCATGATCCCCGGGGGTAGGGCGGGGCCAAAATGGCTGACCTAAGTTTTACATTGAAATATATAGGAAAATTCTTTAAAAATCTTCTTCTCAAGAATGACAAAGCTATAATTCATCATATTTATATGGAAGCATGCTCAGGTAGTGTAGATTCAAGTTTGTTCAAATCATGACCCCTGGGGGTAGGGCGGGGCCAAAATGGCCGACCAAAATTTTACATAGAAATATATAGGAAAATTCTTTAAAAACCTTCTTCTCAAGACTGACAAAGCCATAATTCATTATATTTATATGGAAGCATGCTCAAGTAGTGTAGATTCAAATTTGTTCAAATCATGACCCCCAGGGGTAGGGTGGAGCCAAAATGGCCGACTAAAGTTTTTAAAGATATATATAGGAAAATTCTTTAAAAATCATTTTCTAAAAAATAGCAAATCCATGATTGGTCATGGGACTACTTTTGGATTTAAACTTAACAATAAAAAGCCATTTTCTACTTTTTCCTACCCTTAGTGCTCAGGTGAGCGATGTGGCCCATGGGCCTCTTGTTTGATCTTGGCCTTTCCTTTGACCTTGACCTCACTTTCCTAAACAGTGTCAAACTTCATATGGTGATACATACTGATGTAAGCAATTCAAATGCATCAACATTTTTTACCTTGACCTTTCATTTGACCTTTGACCTCACTTTTCAGAAATTAGTGTCGAACTTCATATGCTGATACATATTAATGTAAGCAATTCAACTGCATCACTTTTCAAGATATTCTGATCAGATTAAATACAAAATTTCATGTTGCATTACTAATATACTCTCGGCGGGGCATTCATGTCCTATGGGCATATTTCTAGTTTTTTATATAAAAGAATATTTTTTTACGAAAATTTTTCCTCGGAAATTTTTGTTAATCGCGATTTCATAAAAATCAATAATGAGAACTTAACTCTAAATACTAAATTCACAGTTTGAATATAATCTTTGTATGTCTGAAGCTAGTGGGCTTTCTGCACGCCAAGTTCGCCTATCTCCTTTCAAAATACTGGCTACTGAGATATTTTTGAATTTTCAGTATTAGGGAAACTATTTTACATTAGAAGTACATTCAAGAAAATACCTGAATGAAGATTCCTGATAAGGAGTTACTGCCCTTGACAACATTTTTTAAAGATTGAATAATAAAAAAAGAAAATATTCTTTTTTTTTTTCTTTTTTTTTAAATACATAACAATTTTTGTAATAACACCTATTGAAAAGTATTCTTAATCTTTCAAAATATGCTGTTCTACTGGGTAACAGTTTTTGCAAAAACCTATGAAGTCATAGGAAGATGGAAAATCGTAAATATTGTTTTCTTTAAATCTTTTATAGATTTATTTTGTACAAATTCTCCTATGAAAGGCATATTCGACTTAAAATATGACATTTCTTTTCCCAAACTCCTAATATTTCTATATTTCCACGCTTTACGAAAGTGTATTTGAAGCTGAAGGTTCTGTTGTCCCAATAACATTACTTTCCAGGCTAAACGGATATCCCTCTTCTTCGTTGGTGTCTACGAGTCGGACTCGAAAAGAATAGGATGAACTTGCCTTCAGACCGGAAACACAGGCTTGCGATGCATCATGGGATATTAAATCTTTGAATGTTGTCCATTGCCCTTCAGGCATTTCTTTGTACTGTACATGATATTTAAATTGTGGAGACAAATTAGGCACTGCTTTCCACTGTATTGTTACGTTATCATAATTTGTTTCTACCAAAACAGGCTCTCCTGGAGTCATCCCATCTTCATCTTCCTTCAAAGTCAAAACCAATAATTTGAATTATATAACTACATAATTAATTTAGTATTAATAATTTAAAGTTAATTAACAACTTACCATGTCAAAATTAGAAAACAGGTCACCAAGATCCGAATGGGCGTACAAGTTGCTTCAAAAAATAAAAAGAACAAGCAAATTCAAAGAATTGTGGTCACCCGCTTTCGGTGTGGTTGTGGTTGAGGTGTCATTTTTAAGACGTATTGCGTCAAATATAAATGCCCTATTATATGTCATTCAGAAGTTATTACCAAAGTTGATTTTCTTTAAAATTAGGTCAAAAGTGAAGGTCATGGTCAAGGAACAGAAATCATAGGATGCTGGGAAATATCTTTTCACAAGTAGTGCACATGTCAAGTATCTCTTCTCAATCAAAAGTTATAAGGAAAAATTAATATTTTTGATAAGTAGGTCAGACTTCAAGGTCAAGGTCACAAGATCAAAAATCAAAATGTTTTTGGAAAGGTATTTTCACAAGCAATACACAGGTTTAATATGAAAGCCCTATGTCTTCTCATGCAATAGTCATCACAAAGGATTTAGTTTTTGAAACCTAGGCCGAACTTCATAGTCACGAGGTCAAAAATCAAAGTGTATTTAGAAAGGTCTTGTCAAAGATGATAATCATATGTAGTATGAATGCCCTATTTATTCTCATTCAAAAGTTATGGCCAATTTTAAACTGTTTTTTTTTTAAAGTAGGTCAAACTTCAATGTCAATGTCACGGGGTAAAAAATAAACTTGCTTGTGACAGGTAATACACATGTTTGATATGAAAACCCTATCTCTTCTCATTTAACCCCTTCCATGACAAAGATTTCAGCATTTCTAAACGAACTGATATAATGATTTCAACGCATTTTTTCGGTATTTCATGTACTTTTTGTATATACCAATGTATATATATATTCTGAAGGTAATTATTGTGTAGTTTCTGAAAATGATTATAAAAAATATCATTTTAGTTGCCATGGCAACGAAATACACCATAATCAAGCTGGAATTTTCATTTAGAATTTTTACATATTACGTGTTACCACCACAGTGATTTCGATAATGGCAAAATCGCTCGAATAGTGCGAAAAGTTTAACCCGAGCTAGCAAAAAACTGGTACAACCAATAAAAAAATTTTCTGTTTGATATTTATCGTAATTATTTTCTCTTTCTAACAGTGCAAGAATTATTCTGATATTTGCAGTATTTAAGAAGTTATGAATGTTTGTTCACACTATGCTCGTTTTTCAAGTCAGATACATAGAAATGCGTATATGCCATGAAAGGGTCAAAACTACTGATATCCCAGTGAAGGTCTTGTCACAGGAATAAAAAAAATCCAGAGCACAAAGCGTCAACAAGTTATGGACAAGTGTTTTGAAAAAAAATTGCTACGTCAAGTCACACTCCAAAGTCAAAGTGAGAAATGTGGATCTTTATATCATCACAACCTGTACAACTCTGTATAAGGTCACTTACTTACTGTGTTACGAATTTATCACACTAAAGACCTTAAATAGATTGATTTTGATGAAAATCATATACTTCAGTATTACATCTGGACAGTTATGGCTAAGTACAAAAAATAAACAAACAATTGGAGAAAACGTTTATGTTTGTCGCCATTTGTTTACAACAGAAACAAAGAGAAATACTTATATCAGTTTTAAATATACCTGTGTATAAATCATAATTATGATAAACGTCAAAATAGTATCAATATGTTTTCATTTTATGTTGAATTTAAAAGCCATTTTGATGAAAAAAATTCAAGAAATTCGGTTCTGTTCTAAATGGAATGGGGCCCGAATTCCACACCGTTGGACTCAATTTGCAACGTCAAAATAAGACTTGGGTACATTTATTAAATCGAGTCTAAATTATTAACCCCCTACCCTATTACATACCTGATTTTTTTTTACCCATTTAAAAGTTTAATGTTTTAACCTTGATAAAACATGTAATTTTTTACCGTTTATAACCACGCTGTAATGACCTTTTGGAGAGCAAGCCCAGAATTTGATTTTGATCGCTTCGCAGATCGATTCCATGTTCTCGAAGGATATCTAAATGACAACATTGTTAGCATAAAAAATGATCCTTTTCAATTTTCTTTTAAATCTAGAAAATAGTCAAAATATGTAAGCATAGTGTTGATCGAAACGCACTTTTACAAAGCCTTGTAACCTACCACGGTTCTTTTTCGAATAAAGATCATGATTCCTGATACATAAGTGACCAAATCTGCAGCACCCGTTGACAAAATAACTGCACAGATGTAAGAATGGACAATTTTCGTTTCTACTGCATCCTCTCGCTGTGTTATGGTATGTGCAGACTTGCAGTGATCGAGTTTTCTGGTACTGCTTCTTTAGCCATTCTCTGACAACCAATGGTTCTAGTCTTCCTAAACTGAAATCTTGTAGGATTTGAAAATTCTCTATTGAATGTAAATCATGCCCAAAGGGACATGTCATTGGACTTTCCCTGCACTTGTTTTGAATGAAGTATTTACAGATATGCAGGTCTTTACATCGAGGGTAGCCTCCACATTTTCTAGGATATTCACATATTTTTAACTCAAACGCCAAACTGGCTTGGATCTGAGAAACCCCTATTCCGGTATCCACAAGGTCAAAAACATTATAATAAGACTGGAAGATTTTGAGTAGCTTCTCAATGTTAAGAAAATTAAACTGTGCGTGCTGACGAAACAAAAGTAAAAGCTTGGAGATCGTCATCTGACCTCCGTTTGACACGATAAAATGGATAGCATTCTTTACCACCAACATTGATGGATGGACCTCTGCTGTAGCACACCTCTTGGCATTACCTGCTTTTCTCATCTCTGGTACTAAAATTAAATATATTTAAAATTAAAATGTACCTACTTAAGTATTCAAATAAATTTCCATTTAAGTTTTTGGTAAATATACGAGTATAGAGAGAAATAATTTAATGTATATAGTCTAATTAAGTTTCGAACCATTCTGTATTAAGGAAAATCTAAACTAGTGCTAATTGTAACGGGGACCGTTACAGATGTTCCCCAAACGCTCCCCAACTCCCTTTTGGTGTCATATTCCCTTTAAGCTTCATTAAATAAGACAGACTCTATGCATCTGAGATTTTAACAACATTTACAAAGAAGTGTACAAAAATCATTTAAACTTTAGCATTGCACGCGTGAACATGTGAATGCATTTGCGTCGTGACCATATCATCTTGTCTACACAATCTATATTTTTAATACACTGAATATTAAAGTATTTAATCCAAAATTATTTAAAAAATACGCTCATTCAAGTGTATGTTTGATTTTACTCATTTCACGTGCACGCACGTGCATACATGAGCATGGTGACCATACCCTCTTGTAGAAGTCCATTACATCTATCTATGTTCTAAATTCCACCCCGTTTGGGTGAAAACTAAGGGAGTTATAGCTGTTTAAAGTTTCAGCCAATCAGATTGCAGCACATGTACACGCACGTGTATGCATGTGCATATTGACCATACCTACTTGTAGAAGTCCATTATATCTATCTATATTCCAAATCCCATCTTGTTTGGTTGAAAACCAAGGGAGTTATAGCTGTTTAAAGTTTCAGCCAATCAGATTGCAGCGCACGTGAGTAGTATAAGGAGCCTAGCTAGACGGGT